TGTGCAACCCCCCCCCCCCCCCCCCCATAAACCATATCCATCACGAAAATGCTGATTACTATACATCTGGTAGCGTCCACAACGCGAATAGCAAAAAAAAAAAGAAAAGAAAAAGTCGAAATGGTAAACAAAAGGAAACAGTAAGCAATAACAGTCTTTTATTGAATTGATCAAAGTATAGTGGGGCGATAGGACTATACGAGGAGACATAGCGGGTGTTTTCTAAATGGTATGGCGGATTATAATATAGCTGGTACGGAAACAGTTTCTCCTATAAAACAGTCGTCGATATCGGTAGCAGTTAGAGTACGACCATTTACTGATTATGAGAATAATCGATTGATACGAAATGATAATGAAGATATATTTTTGGGTGATGGGTGTTTGTCAGGTCCTCCGCAGAGTAAATTGAGCATGGCACAGATACAAGCACTGCTGCTGCTGCTGCTGCTGCAAAAGAAAAATTTCATGCCGTTGGGAATAAGAAAAATTCTTGATGTTGTTGATGATAAGATGCTCATCTTTGATCCACCAGAAACGAACCCAATTGCCAAGATGCAAAAAAACGCGTTTCCCAATAGCTTTAAAGGATCAAGAATTAGGGAACACAAATTTGTCTTTGACAAATTATTCGATGAGGATGCAACACAGCAAGATGTATATTACAATACCACAAGGCCCTTGTTAGATTCTGTTCTAGACGGATATAATGCAACGGTTTTTGCATATGGGGCCACCGGATGTGGTAAAACACATACTATTCTGGGAACTCATGAAAACCCGGGAGTCATATTCTTGACAATGAAGGAACTATATGAACGAATAGAAGAAAAACAAGATACCAAAATTATAGATGTAAGTTTGTCATATCTAGAGATATACAATGAAACCATTCGAGATCTACTAGCCCCAGAAACAGATTTCAAAAAATTGATTATAAGAGAAGACTCAAATCGAAAGATTTCTGTATCTAATCTATCTTGTCATCGGCCTGACTCTGTGGAGCAAGTTATGGACCTCATTATGCAAGGAAACTTGAGTCGCACATCAAGCCCCACCGAGGCGAATGCAACATCAAGTCGATCGCATGCCGTACTACAGATTAATATAGTTCAAAAGAATCGTACGGGAGACATTAAACAAGAGCATACGTTTGCTACATTATCAATTATAGATCTTGCTGGGAGTGAGAGAGCTGCCGCAACTAAGAATAGAGGTGCTCGACTAAACGAAGGTGCAAATATCAACAAATCGTTACTAGCCTTGGGGAATTGTATCAATGCGTTATGTGACCCAAGACGAAGAAACCATGTTCCCTTTAGGGACTCGAAATTGACGAGGTTGCTTAAGTTCTCCCTTGGTGGCAATTGCAAAACAGTAATGATTGTTTGTGTTTCGCCGAGTAGTCAACATTATGATGAAACGTTGAATACATTGAAATATGCAGATCGGGCCAAGGAGATCAAAACTAAGGTAATACGAAATCAGCACAATTTAGATCGTCATGTAGGATCATATTTGAAGATGATTACGGAACAAAAACAAGAAATAGAAGAACTTCGAGCTAGAGAGAGTAAAATTGCCGAAGCCGATCGAGAGAGACAAAGAAAACTTGCCCAACGAGCCTATAATATACTACAAGATAGCATTGTTTCAGTAAGACAACGTTTAGCCAAATATTCCCCGGAACGATGTCGAAGGTGTATGCTTCTAGCTAAGAGGAAACTATTGATTATACAAAAAGTGGAGGTTGAGCAATTGATGAATTTCAACTTTGTCAATCAACAGCGGCAAGATTTGAGTCCACCTCTTCTGACGATTTATGATTTGTGCGAGCAAGTGATATCCAAAGTTCATACTCAAATTCCCGAGATTGAGGAACAGTATAAACAGAGCTACGATGTTGATTATATACTAGGTGAATCTGCAACTCAAACTTTGAGTAAATTACAAGGTGAAGAAGGCTGGTTTGAATTTCATACTACAATCTATTCCCAGTCTATTGATTCTTTACAAAATCAAGTACAAACGGACCAATTGGTTAAGTCGTCTGCGTTATTTGACCAGTTGATTGAATCTTTGAAAGATTATTTATACATACCTAAATTACTCACAAATACAGGTAGTAGTTTAGATCAAACGATACAAATGTTGCAGAGTACAGTAAGTGGAGATTTTGAAACCGCTCTACAATTCCATGCTAACGAGTATATGAAGAAATGGAATTGGTACCTGCAAATGGCCGATGATGTAGCTTTGTCTTTGATGCCATTACAAGAACAAGATCAAAACGTCTACAATTCGCAACCCGCTAGGAAGTCCAGGGCTCTGAGTATCACATCTCCTATATCCAGAGACATGAAAAAAATGCCACCACTAAAAAGAAACAAATCAACATCATCGCCTAGTCGAAAGCCCAAGAAAATACAGAAATGGGGAAATGGCCATGTGTTGGATAATACTAAACCTTCACGTAACCAATCATCTTTTGACGCTATAGTCGATTCAAGTTTTGAAGATGTCACGTTTCAGAATAATTCAGCCATTGCATCAATTGAACGAGCCCAGCATGAATCACCAAACACTAATCAAGTTTTGGATTTGGATTTACAGTTTGATCCGGTTTTAGAAAGTCCCCCGCTGCCACCTATTTTACAAACACAACCGACATTATTGAGGAAAAGCTCGCTGAGTAAGAAAGTGTCCGACAATTTAAAGCAAATTAAAATCGGGATACTGAATGGAGAGGAGAGTGTTGGTGCAAATGGGAATGGGAATTTGAACGGGAATGGAAATGGGAATATACCGAATCTAAATAAAAAACTAAACTATAATCTAGTTGAGCTGAAAATGCCACTTTTAAATACTCTGGCGGCTGCTAAAGTGACTCAAGATGCTATAGACTAAATAGCATATTAGAAGAAGGTAAATTCTTCAACATTTAGTTGTTTTTCTAAAAAAAAAAATTTCATTTTTCAAATTCATTTCTAATGAATATTCAAATACAGCCACCAGTTAATAAAAAACCACCAGCTCCTCAACGTCTACCTGGTCCACCATATCCTGGTGGTCCACCGTATCCGGGTCCACCGTATCCGGGTCCACCATGTCCTGGTTCGTGACCTGGTTCGTGTCCATATCCTGGCCCGTGTCCTGATCCTGGCCCATGTCCGCGTCTTGGATTTCCTGGTGGTGCAGGTGGAGGTGGTGGTGGTGGTGCTGCATAGTGCTTACCATCACCCGGTTTAGCATTGATTCCTGGCCCATGTCCGCGTCTTGGATTTCCTGGTGGTGCAGGTGGAGGAGGAGGAGGTGGTGCTGCATTGTGCTTACCATCACCCGGTTTAGCATTGATTCCTCGCCCTCCATAATTTCCACCGTAATTGTGATATCCTCCTCCATAATACTGTTGTTGTTGTTGTTGTTGCTTATGATCTTTATACTCATTTTCCAATTTGTTTGCACCCCAAGCACCACCAATTGCACCCAAAAATGCACCTAATTTTCCATGATCTTGTCCTCCTAACTTATGACCACCATAACCACCAGCAACACCACCGGCAATAGTTGAAAAAAGACCTTTATCCTGTTGTTCTGCATCATTTACATTCCCTTGATTCTCATGATGGGACTCCAATGGTTTTGGATCATATTTGGACTGGTCACCAGATGAATAAAATTCGGTTGCTGACATGATAAGGGGGAGGTAATTCTAGTTGATTTCTTAATATCAAAAGTGGTGCCATGGAAAATTATGGAAATATTGATTCTATATATAAGTGATTTATAGGGTTAACTTAACATTTGCATGTAAACGAACAAGAAAAATTATCCGGACCTCCCCTGTAGTATTGTTAATCGCTTCTCGATATAAGGGGGGGAAAAAAGGGGGGGAAGGAAGAGAGGCGCGGTGCGTGGAAACACGTGGAAACGCGGAAAGCGGAGGAGGGGTGATCTCAAGCCGCAGGAGAGGGACGCAGGGGCAGGAAGTTAGCCGTGAATTGGCCCACCCACAGAGAAACCTCTTGTAATACAGTTCCCCATGGAAATGGCGTCAAGATTAAGGAGTGACCACTACCACAGCTATTACCGCAGTTACTACTATGGTCATTTATCGCTTTCGTTGACCACGTTACTCTAAATGTTTCATTCCGATTAGACGAAAGTAGTGTACACAAGTCTCAAACTCTAAAACTTTTAGTAAAGCACTTGTAGTCTGTGTGGGTATGAACCGCCATCAAAAAGCCATTGGTTAGAAGGTCATCCTCTTTTTCTGTCCTATCTTACACAAGTTCATAACTTTGGGACAAAGAACCTGTCTTAGACCAATGACACGTGGTTGTTTTGTTAAACTTATTTATGGTGTTGTACTACAGGTTCAAAATATTTGCATACTCTATACATTTTGGTACTAAAAAAAAGAATACTTTATTATAAAAAGTAATATCACGTGACACTCTTTGGAATATAAAGAAGAAGGATTCTTTTTATAGAAACATATAGCTTTTACCTTATGAATCTATATGCACGTGGTGAAATCCTTTGGTACTCTTTGAACTTAGACCCTCTACCATAGTTCCTTGCCTTTGTCCCATGAACTTTCTAAGTTTATGAACTCCATAAACTCCATAATCAAAAAAATTAAACCGTCTATTAAACCAAAATGATTATCAAGAATATACCATATAAATAAAAAAAAGGGAAAAAGGGAAAAAGAAAAAAGAAAAAGGATGAAGATGGAGGAGGGGGGAGGGAAGGGGGAGGGAAACCAGATTTGATGCATGATCCCGTTATTTAAATGGATTCACTGTTTCACCTCTACATGACAACACAGTCCTTTTGAGGACTAGCTTTGGTAGGTCCATTACTCATACCATTTCCATTACCATTATTTCCATTACCATTGCCTCCGTTGCCATTATTCGCTGCCTTTTTCCTTTTAGCCAATCTCTTTTGAATATGTTTAACCAACTCTTTATCCGTTAACCTTGAAAGACTTTTCTCATCTCCATTTTCAGCGGCTTTCCTATACCAGTTTTGAGCCTCAGCTACATTACTGTTGCATCCAATTCCCTTTTCATAAAAGTTTGCCAACGCAAATTGTGCTTTGGGCAAATTACACAGAGCGGCTCTTTTGGCCCATTCAAAGGCTTCAACTTCATCCTTTGGCAAATATGGCTCAGCTCCTACTAAATACCATGCACACATTGAAAGCATAGATGGCGCATCGCCTCCTAAAGCCGCTTGTGTGTAATAATGTATAGACAAGTTGGAATCTTGTGGGATTACATCATCGCCGTATTCGTAATGAGAACCCAATATGGCTGCAGATTGGGTATGACCTAATGCGGCAGCTTGTGCATACAATTCCAATGCATATTTTTTGTCAGCAATAACAATGTCTTCAAATCCGTTATAGTATAGCTTACCCAATTCAAAAGGTGCTGCTGCAGTTAGTTCGGTAGCTACATTAGTTGCTCTCGTCAACCATTTGATACCCATTTTTTTAGTATTCATATCTGTACCTAATCCCATTCTGGAATAAAAGGAATAAACTCCCAACTTGTACATTGCAGCCGGGTGGTTTTTCGCAGCAGCAATCTTCAAATACTCAACGGCTTTACGTGCATCTCTTCCTGTTCCCAAACCTTCTTCATAGCAGTATGAGGTACGATATGCACTTTCCACGTGTCCATGCTTTGCTGCAGCTTGAAACAATATAAATGCCTCTCTATTTTCAATCTTGTCCAACGCACCTGAACTATAAGCATCTCCTAGTAAGTACTGCGCTTCAACGTATCCTTTGTCTGAAAGTTTCTTAAGGTAAAATACCGCTTCTTTTAATAAAGATTTTCTCAATTTTTTTTCATCTCCATCCACTTCATTATTGACGAAATCAAATGATTTACTCTTTTTATGACTTGGTTTATCGTTTTTCCGCAGTGAGATATTCAGATTACTGTTTTCACTTGAAGACTGGGAAGAAATCGTAGTAGTAGTTGCATCAGTGTTACTACTATTAGAGTCCGCCGCTAAAATCAATGCCGTTTGCAACATATACTGGGCATATTGAAACAAGACATTAGGATCGTTTGATTTTTTGGCATTTTTACGATACAACTCCAAAGTTTTGATTCTTGGCATTAAATTTTGAGAATTGGATCCCAAATATTGTTGGATAACATTTTGGTTAAAATCAACCATTGATGAGTTGTCATTCCTATCGTAAAAGAAGGATGACGTTGATGAAACTGAACGGTTATGTCCATACTTCCCAACTGATGGCGTACTCAAATTATTTTCCGACCTACTGAATATTTGGTTATCTAAAGATTGTTGGTTATTGTTATTGTTGTTCAAATTGAGATTAGTTACTGAAGAAGTAGCTGATAATGGGTTTGAAGGTGGTGACACAACAATGCTTTCTTTTGAGCCTACAAATGCAGAAGGTGGTGTTAAGGACTCGTAAGCTTGGTATGGGCCACCAGAAGAAGAAGTAGATCTTCCATTTGTCACAACACCGATTTTTGGCGATTGAGTATATGCAGGTTGTTCAAAAGATTGTTGGTGGTGAGGATGCGTTGGTAAAATTGGAGATTGAAATTGAGAAAAAGAAGTTGCAGTAGAAGAAGATGGTGGTGGTGGTGGTGGTGGCTGATTAGAAAATTGGGGCAAGTGAGGGATCAAGTGTGGTGGCAAGTGGCTGTAAACAGGAGATTGTCCAATATTGCCGCTTCCCCCACTAACGTTTCTCAGCATTTGTCCATTTTCTTGTGGGCTCATTGGACCTCTGTAGGCTTGTTGTTGAAGAGGAACCTGTTGATATTGCTGTTCCATCTGCAAAACTGGTTGTTGTGGTTGTTGTGGTTGTTGTGGAGGCTGTGGTTGTTGTAAGTGTTGCGGATGTTGTGGGTGCTGTAATTGCTGTAATTGCTGTGGTTGCTGGTAGTACCCTTTTTCGTAATTTGTAGGTATTTGTAAATCCTCCATGCCCGAAGTAATCTCAGTCATACTTGGCGAACTATCAGATCTGTCACTTTGGGAATTAGTTGGATTGAAAGCCAGTAATGGATATGGTGCTGAAGAGCCCGCGGAAACCTGGCGATACGGGTGTTGTGACCTCGTGCTCATATTTTATTGCCAACAGCTGGAAAACAGAAAATAAAGATTAAATGCAAGTTGTGGTTTCAATATCCCAGATGATAAACTAAACTAGTAGTAATAGTGATAGTAATGGCAGGGGCGTTAGCAATGGTATTAGTAGTAGCAGCAGCAGCAGTAGTATAGTAATAGTGGTAATATATAGTCTAATATGCTCTGTTTGTAAAAATGAATCTATCACCCGTGTCTCTCTATCTCGTTCAATCTATCCCTCTCTTTCTAACTTTCTCTCTATCTGATTTTCTCTCTAGTTTAGTACCCAATCTCTCCTTCTTGCTCGATTTCTCTTTCTTTTACTTGCTACTTCTACCTCTATAACCTCAACTTCTTATCTACCCTAAAGGTCCAGCTTCAAACTTAATCTGAAAGGAGTTAAAAGGAAAGTTATTTTGTTATGTTTTAAATTTTTTTTTTTCTTCTTCCTCTTCTATCACTGGCTCGCACGCTGAGAGTTTCTACGTCGATTGTGGTTTAAAATTCTAGGGTAGCGTAGTGCCCGTCGTAGAAGAAAAAAGAGAAAATGAGAGATCCAATTAAAACTCAGTTGAGGGATGATGGGGCGGAGGAAGAGAGAGAGAGAAAAGGAGAGAGAAGAGGCGGTGGAAGAATAAAGAGGAGAGACAAGTACAGGGATTGAGTTGAATTTTTTTCCAGGAGCCGTTTGTTGAGAGACAATGGTTTAATCTTTTTGTCTGTAAAACTATGCAATAATGGAGCTGAAAAATTGTGGAACCAAGAGGCATATGAAGTAAGAAGAACCAAACAATAGAGTAATGAAATTGTGGTTTATTAATAGATACTACTACAAAACAATAGATCCTACTACTACACTACTACACTACTACAATAATAATAATCCCTACTACTATTACTACATTTTGACGCCGCGTCGTGTAGATTTGTCCAGTCGCTACCGGCTGGAATATACTCGTAAGTTGTGCCGAGATTAAAATAATCATTTTTTTTTGGTACTGAATCAGTCAACCAAGCTAAAGTCAAAGTCAAAAACAAGTAAAAGCAAAAGCCAAAAACAAAAAATAAAAATAAAAGAAATAAGAGCTTAATGTGATTTTCTTAAGATAGAGAGTATATGAGTTGATGCGAGTGAAGACCAGAAAATGAAAAATTATTCAACTGGGAATTAATTGACTTTATGCTATTATGCAGCTGTCTGCATCTGTCTGCAAGTGTCTGCAGTTGTGGGAAAAACAGTGAGCTGGAATTTCATAACACAAAAGTGGTGAATGAGTAATGTAAGAATAGTGTAGTTTTACACAGTGGTGTCCTTCTTCAATTTGGTTTAAAAAACGAGCTTTATTTAGACCGTCTATTTGCTATAGCATCAACTTATTGTGCTCAAGCTATCTTTCTTTGTTATACGCCGTCACTGTGCACTCACTTTGCAATAGTGGTGGTTCCCTTAATAATAGCATTTGTTGAACTTTACTGACTCTATCATATCATGCCGAAACTTTATTGTACAGTTGGATTATAAAGATCACACGGTACAACTGGGAATTCCTTTTGCAAATCCTACCACTTCTTTGATGAAAAGAAACAAAAAAAACAACAAATATCTTGTTTTTTATACTGGGTATTCTCTTTGCGTTCCCTGCATATTGACCCTCTTTTGATTTAGATTAGAAATATCTACCCCTAGAAATGTCTCGATAAATCTTTGGTCTAAAAATGTCTCTAAAATGTCTAATCTATAAATGTCTTTAATAATGTCTAGTCTAGTCTATAAATGTCTTTAATAATGTCTAGTCTATAAATGTCTTTAGAATTTCTCTAATCTATAAATGTCTTTTGAAATATCTTTCAAAGATCCTTAACTTGAAATCCAAAACTCAAAAATGTCTCACCTCAGACTAACCCAAATATATCTTGATCTGAGGGGTCTTTTTATTTTGCTTTTTTAGACCACAACTAAAATGTGAATCAAGATGAAATCAGTTGGAGAAAAATTGTGTATAGGATAGATACTAGGTCATTAAAGATAATGCTTTTCCTTTGAGTAGGTTTAAGATGCTCTTTCCATCTACTCTTTCTGTCTACTCTTTCCATCTACTAGACTCATTTCACTCGTCTAGTCTCTAAATCTTTTTTATGGCATGACATTACTTCTAATTTGCGTATTATCTATACAAAGGGTATACATATACGAGTTCAGCACGGGCTGGACACAGTTTCAACACATCGTGTTTCATAAGATGTGTTTCATAAGATGTGTTTGTAATTGATGAAAAATCATCTGAGTCCTGCACTTTCAAAAATATTGAAATATATCGCTACCGTTGTCGCTACAACAAGAACAACTAGAGCAGTGATTCCACCACCAGACAATAGATACCTGAAAACCCCATTGTTATTCAGCAGACTATTTCTTGTTTTTAACATAGCTAGCTTCCTTTCATGCTCAATCAATATCCTTGCTCTTTCTTCGGGATCTAATTTGTTTAATTGGGATAATTCCACATACCCTCCAATGCCACCTCCACTTCCATTGCCACTACTACTACGAACACCATCCTCGCCACTCTCAGCATCATTTATCTGCTTTTTTTTCCTCTCTTCTTCTTCTTCTTCTTCTCGTCTCGCAATTTCCTCTTTATTAGACTTAACCAAATCAGGAAACTGTTTAACAAACCTAGGATTCTCCTTTATATTCCATTTCAAGCTATCGCGAGCTAGCTTCCGCTTAACATTGTCCGAAGTCGAAATTGACCCCGTAGTCTGTTCGTTACCAGTCATAAAACTAAGCAAGCCAGTTAATATGGTAGCTACACTCCATGCTGGATTCCATGTGTTTGGATGATAATCCAGCATCGAAAGACAAAGTCTTGTATTCACAGCAAACCTCCCATTGGGGGTAATCATCGAGATCGATGGCGGCTTAAACGGATACTCGGTGGGGAATCGCAATATACCATGGTATTGTCCATCTTCAAATATAGTGTTTTTAGGTCCACTAATGATATAATGCCATTCTAGAATATTCTCATCATTGGGTTTGGCTGTGATATAGGGAGGGGGGCTTTTCTGAATATTCATATACTCCTTATGTAGTCTCTTAGAGCTCTTCATCTTCGAAGATCCTAGTTTGTTTGGAGATGGTGTTGGTTTTCCTTACAAGATGCTAGAAAATAGGAGAGAATCTAAGAGGAAAAATCCCAACCCTTTTGTCTTGCGTGGTTTTTTTTTTTTTTGGATTTTCTGTAATTACCGGCGCTACCAATTATGGCTTTCGCTTAACTAACAGCCTGTTGTTCCTACAGTCCTACGGGGGTATTTCTGGCCACCAGCACCACTTTTGTTAAGAGACTAGACGAGTGAAACGAGTGTAGTCGATATAGTGTAGATAGAGTGTAGTCGATATAGTGTAGATAGAGTGTAGATATAAAGCTGGTAATTGTTTATCGCAGTAGAGCGCTGTATTATCTATACAAACATGCCAATCACAACCAGTCATGACAACCTCTCTCAGTAACTATATACACCTCCTTCCTCTTGACTACTTTGGGTTCTTTTGACCGATAGCATAGATCAAATTAGCTTGAATCAAATATTCCAATCCACCATTCTTACTATTTCTCAGTTTCAACTCACCACTTTCTAATTTCTTTGTTGTTTCTTCATCACAGTGATTCATAATAAATTCCTTTGGCTGATAAACCCAAGTTCTAAATCTACATGAACTTGAAACATTGATTAATCCAGAAATATCTCTTAATGTATGATTCAAACTATCCTTTTTCAATCCGCCCATATGTTGAACTGCACCAGTTGCTTTCAGTATGTCGCGAACTCGCTCTACATCCTCATTATAAAAGTCAATAATAAACAACCAACCACCTGGGGCTAAAAATGTGGCCAATTTTTTAGTCACTTGCTCATAATTGTGGATATGGTGATATGATATGGTACAAATAATTGCATCGAAATAGTTGTTAAACTGTTCAAGCTTAGGTTCATTATCAATGTCAAGAATATCGTATTCATAAGATTTCATAGTTAGCTCATCACTAGTAAACTTTTCAGCTCTTTTATTGAACCATGAAAGGAAAGCAGAACCAATATCAATACCAACAATCTCACTGTGTTGTCCCTTTTGTGTCAAATAAGGTACAAACAACTCAGTTACCTTTCCTGTACCACAAGCAAAATCCAAAAGTTTCATACCTGGGCGGAATATACTCTTGGGAAATTTTTGTAAATATGTCTTTGGATCAGGCAAGGTCTCTTCAATAGAAAAACCATTCAATGGCTTTTCCGGGTCTCCAAGAACAACATTAGAATCCTCGGGGTTAGAAGTGGTAACAATAGATAAATCAAACTCTAATATATGCTTAACAAAGAGTATCGATAAAATACTTTGACTTTCAAGCTGTTCATATTTTTGTGCAAATTCCTCGTTAAATGAATCTTTATTATTTTGAACTGCTTGTTGGTGAATAGACAGTGTCATCTTCTTCTTCTGTTCTTTTTTCTTTTCTTTTTATTTTTTTGGTCGATAGTGTCGGTCAATGTGCTCCACTATCTCGCTCTGCTCGATAGTATCGAAAGCTTTCCTTACATTTGATGATTTGCTAGATAGGTGGATTTATTGGCTTTTATATTGAACAGTTTTTCATTTAAAGTCCCGCGCCATAATCTCCGTGCCAAGGTTGGCGAAGCGCAATATCAAATTAGGAAATATTTCTTTCTGCGCCGATCGGCCCATTTTTCCGTTCGTTTTTCCTTTCCATTTGCGGCGGACGCGAGGACAAAGGAAGAGAGAGGGGAGCGCCGCGATTTAGTGTTCCTATAAGGTATTTGCCATAAAGTCCGGCTCATGATGCTTTTCAACAACGTGTATAATTATCTAGAAAACATTATCATTTTATATATTAGAATTAATCGAAAGATAAAAAAAAAAGATAAGATCAAAAGACTTATATAATGATACTGTAAAATGTTATACGTTTGTGGAGATATGTTGGTGCTAACGACAACATAATCTGGCAAAAAATCCTTTATGCTTCTCAGTATCTTCATCCATTTGTTGTTGCTGTTGCTGATAATGATTCATATTGTATCCTTCGTATTTGTTACCTGGATTTGGATCGACTCCCATTCCTCCAACTCCCATTCCGCCAACACCTAAATTATTGACATCTCCTCCAACAATACCACCACCACCGCCGCCAGATTCTTGTTTGATTGGTGGTAATGGCCTGTTAACTAAATGTTGTAATTTTTGTTGGTGCAATTGTGCAGCAGATAATTGTTGTTGCAGTTTCAGTTGCGATTGTTGTTGCTGTTGTTGCTGTTGCTGTTGCTGTTGTTGATGCTTGAACTGTTGCTGTTGTGAGAGTTGTTGCTGTTGTGAGAGTTGTTGTTGTGAGAGTTGCTGTTGTTGTGAGAGTTGCTGTTGTTGCTGTTGTTGTTGTTGCTGCTGTTGTGATTGCTGTTGTCTACTTCTTCTTTGATCACGATGTCTTCTTTCACGTTCGTTTGGTGGATTAGGATGTCCGTATCCATGTAGGTTTGGCTTTTTATTAATCTGGGCGTCCCATCCTTTACCACCATTCAAATGCATCCAGTCATAGTCTCCGTCGCAAGATTGTCCCAAATCGTCCAATATTGAAACCAATAACATTCTATACTCTTCATATGGTGGTTCAGCGTCGAATGGTAATGATCTAACAGAATCCAAATACTCGGCAAATTGGGTTGGTAATCCATCACAAAGTGTCACTGCCGGAGTTGTTCTCTTTTTATCTCCAATTTTTTCATACTTTTGTTTATTTGTTGGTGCTTTTAAACCTTGCCAAGGTAATTGTCCTCTTAAGAAATAAAAAAACACATGCCCCAATGCTTCTAAATCATCTCTTCTTGATTGTTCTCTACCTAAATGAGTATTAATAGACATGTAACGTGCTGTACCACTTAAAGATTTTTTTTCTCTATATGGGATATGTTGTTTTGTTCTTGGATCACGGTATTGTTTTGCCATACCAAAATCAATTAAATGAACATTGTTTTCATCGGGCAATCCTTGACGTCCAATAAGGAAATTATCTGGTTTGATATCTCTATAAATTAAATCATGACGATGAACTTCTTCAACAAGACTCAACATTTGTATAGCTACTTGTACAACTGTCTTTACTGAGAATCTTCTACCACACCAATCAAACAAATCTTCCAATGAAGGACCCAACAAATCGATAACTAGAATATTATGCAATCCTTCCTGGCCAAAGTAATATGCATTTGGTATACCTTGACAGCCTTGCAAGTGTTTATAAGTTCTATATTCATCTCGTAATTGTGGTGCTTCAGTTTTTCTAGGTTCGAATTTGATTGCTACTGGTACACCATTTATGATATTTGTACCTTCAAATATGACACCAAATGAACCTTCTCCGATTTTTTTACCAATTTTGTAGTGTAAACCAACAACTGATGAGTTTGAATTGTTGCTAGCTGCAACCGCTGCAGCCGATAACGAATTGTTGTTATTGTTGTTAGATGTGATGACTGGGTTTGAAGGTGGTGATGCAATGTGTCCACCTGCATTCCCAACCCCGTTTGGGTGGTGATGAGAATGATTCATGGCAAGTGTTTGTTTTGACGATAATATGGGATTGCTGTGTGATGCTTGAGCAGCTGCTATTGCTGCTGGGTTTGTAGACGTTGCTACACGATTAGACATGTAGTTATAGAATTAAACCAATGAAAAAAAGAAAAGAAATTTTCCCTTGAAAAATTGTATAGGTGGGATATCAACACCTTTGAGAGGCAGTTTTTGGTCAAGAAGGGGAGAGGGGGGTTGTTGTTGATATAATGGAGGGAAGGTAGTGTGAAAGTCACCAGATAAACCAATATACCTTCTTTCACTTCTTCCTTTAACCAGCTACTTCTCTCTTGAAAAGTTTCTTCCCTGTATCAAAGTGAATAAATTTATCCGTTGATTTCTTCTCTTTAGCCTTTTTTTTTTTTTCTTCTGTGAGAATCACAAGGTAAAACGTTGTGAGATGAACTTTGTGGTTAGCAATTGATGAGTAATTTTTATGGAATTGAGGGTGACCCTATAGAGGTACAATAGAGGCACAATAGAGGCACTATCGAGACACTATCGAGCAAAGCTAGATAGAGGAGCAGCACCGGTTATGTCTATACTAGCGTAGTGTTTTCTGGAGAATATCAGCGTAATATTCTTGTAGTGTTTTGTAGTGTTCTTGTAGTGTTTTGTAGTGTTTTGTAGTGTTCTTGTAGTGTTCTGTAGTGTTCTTGTAGTGTTCTGTAGTGTTCTTGTAGTGTTCTGTAGTGTTCTTGTAGTGTTCTGTAGTGTTCTTGTAGTGTTCTGTAGTGTTCTTGTAGTGTTCTGTAGTGTTCTTGTAGTGTTCTTGTCTCCGCAGAATATCAGCGTATTGTTTTCAGCAGAATATCAGTGTAGTATTCTTGTAGTGTTCTTGTCTCGGCAGAATTTTAGTTTAATGTTGAGATAATACCAGCAATAGTGTTGTTGTGTAATGCTACTATGTAATGCCACTTGTGTAATGCCACTGTGTAATTTATGTATGTGTAAATAAGAAAAAAATATTTTGCGTATAGATCACTAGTACTGAGCTATAATTAGCCAGTTGTTTACTTCAAGAATCTGTGTATACTCCTAAAAAGGGGGGGAGGGAATTTCAATCAAGTAAAAGGCAAGGGAAAAAAAACCAATAGACAAAGTAGAAAAAGCCCAGTAAAAATTACTAAAAAAAGTGTTATTTCAAATAGACAGTGATGAAGAATATGAAAATCTACTATACTTTATTCTGCTTTAATGTAATATACTCTACTCTGCTCTATTCTATTCTACACTACTCTGCTCTATTCTATTCTACACTACTCTGCTCTGCTCTACTCTACTCTGCTCTATTCTATTCTATTCTACTTTAATATACTCTACTCCGCTCTACTCTCGGGTCTACTCTGCTCCACTTTACTTTCAATCTCCGTTATATCCTGTTGTATGTAGTATTCTCTGCTTTGTATCCTCTGCTTTGTTCTCTGCTTTGTATTCTCTGCTTTGTATTCTCTGCTTTGTATTCTCTGCTTTGTTCTCTGCTTTGTATTCTCTGCTTTGTATTCTCTGCTTTGTATTATCAGTGTATCATTTTCAATTGTTATGTCCCTCCAGTTTTTTTTTGGTCTGAGTCAAGAATGTCGATTATGTAAGTGATTATATAATCGTGACACTATCCACCAACACTATCGACCAACACTATCGAGCAACACTATCGACCAACACTATCGACCAACACTATCGAGCAGAGCGAGATAGTGTTGTAACAAGCTACTGAGTGTTGCTCCACTATCGACACTATCGAGCAGAGGGAGATAGTGTTATAACAAGCTACTGAGTGTTGTAACAGACTAGTTAGTGTTGTAACAGGCTATAGAGTGTTATAACAAGCTACTGAGTGTTGCTCCACTATCTCGCTCTGCTCGATAGTGTTGTAACAAGCTACTAAGTATTGCTCCACTATCTCGCTCTGCTCGATAGTGTTGTAACAAGCTACTGAGTATTGCTCCACTATCTCGCTCTGCTCGATAGTGTCATGACAAGCTACTGAGTATTGCTCCACTATCTCGCTCTGCTCGATAGTGTCGTGACAAGCTACTCAATAGTGTTGCACTTGGTTTTCTTTCCTACGGGTTTACTCGCTGCGCTCGCTACAAAGCCTCGATTAGAAAAATTTTAACAAGCTAGGAATCTTGAGTGACTTATTTGATACATTTGGGTTATCCCGTGTAATCTCAGATTTGCAACTAGCCAGCAACACTATAAAGTGTTGCTCGATAATGTACTCGATAGTGTCTACAAAGGGTTGCTCGATAATCTACTCGATAGTGTACTCGCGCCACATCACTTCCATATCTGGCAAAAAAACTCAATGCCAAACCATGTTTTTCACAGTTGTACAATGCCCCCTATCCAAATAAACCATACTTCTCAAAGTCGTTTGAAAACTCAACACAAAGCTCCCTATCCAAGTGTAAATCATGTTTCTCAGACTTACTTGTATGTAGTGCATACAAGTAAGTCCCTCACTTATACAAGATGATATATCAGTGCTGCTGAACAGTGCTACAACACTATCTCGCTTCGCTCGATAGTGTTGCTACAATGGGGTGGAATCTCTACTTATCCTATTACTAGGTCGACTACTGGACCCAGTAGATGTACTATTCTCCATAATTTGCTGTCTTTCATTACACAACTTATCAATTTTATCCTCAAGAAACGATTTCAAAAACTTATTTCTTGCTCTCAACCTCGTCAATTTATATTGATAATTGCTTAAACAATCACGATGAATCAAATCTGGTAGTTGAGCCAAACCTGGTAAAGCTAGCTTTCGCGCTAGCTTTTGATATTGTTGTTGCTTAACCTGATTCAATTTGTTCAATTGAGAAACTGCTTCAGTTGAACTTTCTTGATATTTTTGCCTCATTGTTTCTGTTTCATTATTGACTTTTTGATTTTCCGATTGCAATAAACTCAACTCTTTTTCAAGATCAGTTATTAATCTAGATTGTGCACTTAGAGTTTCTATGGTGATTTGGCCATCATCTGGCTTTGTTTTGTTATTCAACTCACTAATCTTATCATTTAGTTCAGATAGCTTATCCTGCTTCACTTTCAAATCATTCTCAAATCGTGATAGTTTCCGATCTAAAAATGACGCTTCTTCAGTCAATCTTCGAAATTTGGGGTAATTTTCAGCTATCAAATTCTCATCTTCATCAAAATGAACTTGTCTTGAAGTTTCAAGTTTCCTCTTAACTGGTAGTTCTATCTTCTCAATATGATCCACTTCCTCCTTGATTTCAATTAATTTCATTTGCAATAATTTCGATAATTGACAACTAAAATTCTCAATTGAAAGTTTTTGGCCAGTCTTCAGAAAATGACTAAAATCATTCTTAAAGCTTAGTTTTTTTCTCAATTTCTCTTCTGAATAATTCAAAACTAACTGATCATCGTACTTGGCTAACAAAGAAACTAACTCATCGGGCTGATCAATATTACTTACAAATCTCTTCATTTGAGCCCCATAATTATCATAGTAAAAATCGTTATCAAGATCCTCTTGAAGATTAAAATTGTTCACAACTAACGTATTCAAAACTTTTAGTCTCCATTCATGCAATTCGTTCTCTTCATCAAAACCGCCATGTCTAGGTTTAGCTATATGTAATTTCAAATGATCACTGGAATATATAGGCACAGGTATAAATATAGGGCAATTACTATCTGATCGTAGCATTTCGATACTTGGATTCGTTGCATCGATGTCACTGTCAAAGGAAAACACAAACTTATAACTCGTCGATGATGACTGGTTCATATAATTATTGTACAATTGTTGCTTTTGAATCAAATTGACAAAGACTGCTCCTTTGCCACCTCCTTCTTCTTCTCCTCCTCCTCCCCCTCCCCCTCCTCCTCTTTCTTCTCCTCCTTCTCCTCCTTCTCTCAGTTCATCTTTACAAAACTTTCGTTTATCATCATACAATTTTATATTACTAGAATTGGTATATCTCAAATCTTTCCCAATTATGATCCCTTCAATCAATTCCAATTCCTTGTTATTCTTAGCAACCACCAATATGGAATAAACTTCATCCCTTTTTTCCAGTATAAGCGAATCAATAATCTTGTTAAACAATTCGTATTTCCCCGACATAAGAGTCTGCAACTCATTAGTCTCCAGTAATAATAATTTTTTGGGGATAAAATGCTCAACAAGTAGCCCAGGGTTATTATTAACAACTGCCAATTTCTCAAAACATAACGAAACGAGTTCATGTGCATTCCCCGGAAACTCCATATCGCCATTGGCCTGGTCTGAAGAGTTGTCTCTGGAGGGAATACTAGATACTTGTAGTAAACTCTCAATATTGGATTTTTTTCTCCTAGCTTTCATTTCATTGAGTAATGTGTCACTAAACAAGTAAAGTAGCAGCTGAATGATCAATATCTGTATCCGACTAAGTCTTGTGGGTATGTGGAAAACCTTAGAACCAAATTGAGCCAATTGTTGCAAATTTATTCGTTGTTGTTCTTGTCCTTGTTGTTGTTGTTGGGAGCTTGACATTCTTGTCTCGCTCAACGTGTTGAAATTCCCACCATTGCTCAAACCATATTCATCCACATTGCCATATATTGACGACGGAGGATCCGTCGACAACATGTCCATCAAATTCATCCTCGAGCAACCAAATTTTTCTACCCAAGATCAAGGCTTCAATTCATGGAATAAAAGTATTGGAATCTTTAATTTTATTTTTTTTTTCGTAGACACTTTTATCAAATTTCTATTACTACTACGACACTATCGAACAGAGCGAGATAGTGGAGCACACTAGCCACCGATGCTGACTGACTGGCTACTAACTATTACTACTACTATTACTACAATTCTGCTTGTACTTAAAAAAAAAAAAAAAAAAGTCTATTAAAGAAACCCACTCCTCTTTCTGCATTGTATTCTTTCACTGCTTCTCTTCCACTTGCTTTCACTTCTTCCTTCTGAAGTTGATGTTAACGCCAATTCCATTAAGACTTTCCCATACTACAGGCTCAACTTTTTTAGGTAATTTTCTTCCATAAAGACACTGATCAACGAGCCACATCCCTACAAGGAATTCGTCTTTGTTCAATGTGCCATCTCTTCTAAAATCAACCAAGTTCCATATTTGCTCTAGTGTATCTTCCGGTAATCTGCTCCTATTCCAAATTCGTTTCACCACGGCATTGAGTATAAGCTGGTTTAATTCTATTGGTTCTATATTTGATGGTGGTTTGGCCATTACAGCCGTATCATCATCCTTACCAGACTGGCTTGGAGACGACTCTCCTTTTGTTTCTGGAGTAATTGTATTTGTCGATATAAGTGCGGCTTTCATGGAGTCGTCAAAGTGATCAAAATTACTCTTTGAAAAATCAGACATTGAGTAATTGACACCATGTAGCTTTGTTGTTATGAAATTTATGTAATTACCTTTATTGCTAACCCATACTCCTTCATATCTTTTACGCTCTTGTTCCGTTAAATAATTCAAGTCGTTATGGCTTTTCCATGGCTTATACTCGTTGAACTTTGATTTTCTCTCTTTTCTTTTATTCGTCTTTCTCATTGTTGTTCTAAACTGAACCGGTTGTGGCCCGCCTGTTAAAAGAGTTGAGGGACTGACTATTCTACTTCCGCTCTCGGAAGTATCTTCGACGTCTGCATCATCATCGTTATTGTTATCTCTAGTGTTATTACTATCTTCATCGCTATCGGGATCCAGAAAAACAACATGGTGCAGACCCTTATTCCTTTGATGATTGCTACTTCTAAACAATTTCTTTGAATGGTGGTGATGTTTGTGAATATCAGGAAACTGTATAAATTTCGAATCTCCTCTTTTAGTTTCACTTACAGAGTCATCGTTATCTGTAAAAGACATGGCATCGTCTAAGGGCGGTACAGGAATGTCACCACTAGAGAAAGTTTCAGCAGATTTTCCATGCAGTGTCATTTGGTGCATTAGCTCTACTGCACCAGGCGATGTCAGCTCATGTGAACCTAGATAATAATAGTCATCATCGCCACAACTCACATCTGCGGCACACTCTTCATCATAGAAAGACGGTGGTGGTTTGCGTCGTATATACGACTTCGATCTTTGTGATTCTGCTGGTAATTGTGACTTAACAGGCACGATAATACTTACATCATTGGCACTGCTTTCCTTATCATAATCAGTCACATCTAAAGTAATACCATGTCTTGCAGGTACTTGTTTCTTATTGTCATTATCTGTTGGTCCTCCTGACTCAAATGACGAGTATGAGCTATTATACGATGGGTCATATCGAATCCCCGTATTTGTATCCATTGAGTTTTTGTTCAATTCAATTCCGGGTGAAAGTCCAATACTGGTGTTGGTGTTACTAGCAGTCAATTTCCTATTACTATCTGCTGGTTGTTGTTGCTGGTGGTGGTGGTGTTGTTGTTGTTGTTGTTGCTGTTGTTGACCTCTCGTCATATCACTCAAACCGTATTTCCCAAAATCATTTTCGCTCATCTTTGCGTTATTCAGCACTTTTGATTTCTCATTAAGCGATGTTTTCAAGCTGCGAAGCATCTCTTGAGGCGAATAGTTTACAGATAATCTTTTGGAACTAGCATCATTAACAATTGCTTTTGAGTCTATCGAATTCTTGACATTGTAGATCATATCTCTTGGGGAATGGGGCAGGTATTTCGGCAGTCGCAAAGCTTCAGCACGAACGTGTCTCGCTGGTAGTTCAAAATATTCTCCGCTACAATTATCACTATTCAACTCTGGTGATGACATATATGCTTTGGGGCTTCCCCTCACCTGTGTATCTAATTTTAACGGTGGACGCGGCGACGTGGTGGCCGAAGATGACGACACATCTGAAGAATAATTCCCACATTTCCTATTTGTCACAGACAGCGGAGTGCATACTCGGGAATGGCCTGGTTTTGCCGATGGTTGTAGTCTACTTCGTGATTTTTTTGATGCTTCCGATAATGAGTATATGGAATTTGCATCTCTCGTATTCAGACTCAGCTGAAGCTCTTCTTTCTTTTTCCCAGCATTAAACGCAGCTAAAGCTGCAGCACTTGCAGCAGAATCGTTGGCCATTCCCCTCTACCGTGAGTCAAGAGGAAAAGCAACCTTCTCTATTCGTATATATAGATATATATATCCATATATATCATCTAAAAGATGCCCATATATAAACCTTTTTTTTTTTTCTTTCTCGCTTTGTTTGTTTTATCTGATATTCCAAAACCAGTGCAAGTACTTTTTTTATAATGCAATAATTCTGAACACTATTGAGCAGAGCGAGGTAGTGGAGCGGCACTAGCAACACTGGCAACACTGGCAACACTGGCAACACTGGCAACACTGGCAGCACTGGCAGCACTGGCAGCACTGGCAACACTGGCAGCACTGGCAACACTGGCAACACTGGCAGCACTGGCAGCACTAGCTATTAATTGATGCTAGTGATTATTCTATTAATTGATGCTAGTGATTATTCTATTAATTGATGCTAGGGGTTATTCTATTGATTGATGCTAGGAGTTATTCTACTTTTTCTACTTTCTCTTACCTTTTGAAGAGTTTACGAAACGTCCCTTACCTACACGGACGCCCGAAGGTCTTATAGTATTTACTGTACCAAAGGGACTTGCATAGTTATCTGCACTTCCACCTCCGATCCAATCTTGTAACAATTTTTCATGCTGTCTCCTCTCCCAATCGTCATTCTTCAAGGCCTGCTGGTACTCCTTTTGGTCTTCTCTTAGGAGTAGCGGGTTTTGTTGGGATTTGTGTCTGTTTTGTTTATTATGCTGAAATCCTCCTTTTCCTTGTAATCGTTGCTGGTTTTTACTCAAAGGTGACGGTATCGAGTATTTATCACCTCTCTTTATCCATTGGAAATTTGCTTTCAAGTGAGGTGTCACTTTGCCTGTTTTACTGTCTACAGATACAGCACATCTTATCAATGTATCGCCACCGCATTTGGGACAAAAATGTTTAGGTCTTCCGTCCTTGCTAATTGGTGTTAATCTAAAGCATGCATGACATCTGTACATATAATTACGCACTCGTTTGATTTGTTTTCCTGACATGGCATTTAGTAACTTTATTCCGAGTTGCATGGCTACATTTTGACATGCAAAATCGCCCGTGGCAAGAACAACCTTGATTTTTGCACCATTGTTTAATGTATCTTGAATCTGTTCATTCTTATCTTTTAAAATTTCCTCCTGTAAATTGTCGGGTGTGATCCATTCGCCATCGTCGTCTGACTCATTATACTCTTCACCAATACATTGAGAAGCTTCCTCGTTAGACTCTTTACCAACACTTTGAGAAGCTTCCTCGTTAAACCCTTTACCAACACTTTGAGAAGCTTCCTCACTTGCACCTTCTTTTGATACAGTAGTTTCTACTTCTTCCTTCTCGTTTGTAGCAGCAGCAGTTAAGGCTTTCTCTAAATCATCGTCATTCAAGTCTTTACCTCCGGCTTTCTCTTGTAACTTTTGCAACTCGGCTTCTCTCTTTTCACGTTGTCTCTTGCCACCTCTTTTACGACCTTTCTTAACGGTAACAAACGCACCATCGCTATCCCCTGTTTTTGAAATCGGATTATCCTCAACAACGGTTTCTTTCTGGTTTTCCAACACTTCTCCTGGAAAACTCCTCAACTTCCCACCACTCTTTATTTCTAACTCATATGCTAATGCAATAATGTGTAAATCATTAACAGATAAAACACTATAATCACCAGTCAATTTAGCAAATCTAACAACTTTATCAATACAATCTTGATCGGGTTGTTTTATTTTTAGGCGATCACCCCATATAACTAATTGTTGCCGGACTTGTTCATCTTTCAACTCTGAATGAACTCCTGGAGTTGTGTAAAAATTATTTCCAATTTGCTGTAAATTTGTAGCTGGTTGGGTAATCAACGGCCCGGCATCTAAGACAACCGTCTCGATATGTTTATTGCTTGTCATTTTGAATCCTCAAAATGTGGAGCTCGAGAAAGTTAGAGGGGGGGGGGAAGGTGGAGGGTGGAGAAGGGTTATCTTACATATCGGGGTAGAAAATTTCGCACAATATGAGATGAGATGAGGTAGTATGACCATTAGTGGAAGTATGTGCGGCTTGGAGGCACATTTTTTTTTGGGTTTGGGTGTTACTGATTATGAAGCTCTTTTCGACTTTGACTAGTGAAAACACTATCGAGCAGAGCGAGATAGTGTAGTAGAGCTTAGTAGCCTGTTACAAAACAATCTCGCTTTACTCGATAGTGGAGCAGTACTTTGTAGCCTGTTATAAAACAATCTCGCTTTGCTCGATAGTGGAGCAGTACTTTGTAAACTAACTTTATAGTGTTTTGTTCAAAAAGCAAGGGGCAGGAAGAGGGGGGGGTACTACATGTTGGAGAAATAGAGAGATAAAGGATTCATATCAAACGATGGACGATCAATTTCACCCATTGCTACATACAAAAGGAAAATGGTGGTGTGTTATATTTGTGAGCCCGCGCGCTGAAACAAAACTAAATATTTGGCTTGGTAGTCTCATACTGAGCAACCAATTCGTTAGCCTTAATAAAATTAGGCTCATTGTCGATATTCTTACTCCAAGCACTCAAATTTGGCCACATTTTGTCGATATCTGCGAAACCTATCGATCTAGCAGTATCCTTATTACTAAAAATATTTGTCAAAATGGGAAAACTCAAAATGATATCGGCACCAGTCAATTTTTTACCAACAAAATATTTCGAGCCTGCCTTGTTTTGTTTGCTCAAAATTCCTTCCAAAAAATCCAAGTTCTTCTTGGTTTCTGGAAAATAGTACTGATCATCAATACCCTTGACCAATAATCCCATGAGAAATCTTGTTCCAAAAGGAGCCCTTTTTTTGGCAAATGAGTGCACTAAAAGAGTAACTAAATTTGGTTGAAGAGTACCTTCAGAATAGTGAAGGAAATAATCAACTTCACGTTGCTCACGGGGATCCTCGGGTACTAAGGTATGTTTGTGGTCGTAATTTTGCAAAAGATATTGAAAAATATGACCAGTCTCGGCAATAATCTCACGTTCGCCATTTGCCTTGATAATTTCAATTACTGGTGATTTTCCTAATGGGTGGATTTTTTCCAATTCCTTTGGTGCTCTAAACTCTTTATCCCTTTTATATACTTTAAGCTCAAAGGGAACACCCAATTCCTCTAATAACCAAACGATTCTTTGAGATCTCGAATAGTTCAACCTATAACTGGTCAGTTATGTTTTGCCAAACCTAATCAAATACGTATGTTACATACCAGTGAACTATTATTTTGTCACCCTCAGACATATTTTAAACTGGTAACTTTTATTTGAAAGAAATGGAAAAAAAAAAAAATTTAAAAAGAAAAGTTGAGAATGGTTATATTGAGCCTTATATACAAACCTCCCTCCTTCTCCTTCTCCTCCTCTTCCACCACCATGGATTTCGAACTGATGTCATTATTGTTGGCGCAAACGCAATCAATAATCATGTGAATGCAAATTTAGATGTTGCGCGTATAGAGCTTTTCTAAGAAGGGCGGGTGGAAAAAAAGGCTGAGGAGTGGCTGGTATTAGAAAGTATAAACGGGGCGGAGAAAAAAGAAATAGTAAGAAAAGACCCTTTCTCCTTATTTTGTCGTTGTGTTGTGTAGCCTAGTATTGTGAGACATGTATCAATGAATGAAGGTTTTATTAAACACCGTTTAGGATATGTCCTATTGAGTTTGAATTGCTTTCCTAATTTGTAAAATGATGCATGTGGGATAATGCGTGAGGCACTTGCAAAAATGCGGTGTGTATTAAGGATGGTGAATAGAGAACACAAAAACCGCAAAAGACGGATATTCATTAGGAGTGGCTATTCATTATGAGTGGCTATTTCTTATATACTCTCCTTCTCCTTGAAAGTAGCCTCTCTGGATAAATTTCGAATTAATCACAAAACAGAATATCGAAGCAGTACTTGTGATAACTTTGCAACTTTGATTGAGAGTAAGCAAGTCCTACCCTATTCAAAGACTGTTTTCTTTTTTTTTTTTGTTTTTTTTTTCAAAGATTACTTATTTTTTCTGGTTGCAAAAAAAAACTTTTGTTCATTTTAAGGCAAATATTATGCGGATAATAATTGGCGACACTATCGAGCCGAGCGAGAGAGACTAGATGAGTAAAACGAGTCTTGTTGATAAAAACTAGCTGAAAGAGAAGGAATTTAGTCGATAGTGAGCAGCACTTATGGCTTGTTAAAACAATGACTAGCTCTGCTCGATAGTGTCGCTCGATAGTGGTTAAATTAGAGTCTAATTTAATATAGTTTAAGAAGATGTTGCCTTTTCTCACATAAATTAACCTCATTAAGATGTAGTGGGTATTTAGACAAATTTTCGCAGCAGCTGTTTCCAGTCCCCTTATTACTCTTTTGGATATATCAAGAATGAAATATTACCACTCCCCAAAACTTCTAAAGAAGTACGATTCAAAACAGCAATATTTTTTCTCCCTAGATGATAAAAAGGAAAAATGAATTACAAATGGCGCATTAATGGTATAAACAAATAGTACCAGTAAATGTGATTTTTCTCTTTCAATATGTAAGGCTAACAAAGAATTTTACATGGTAAAACGCCAGTTTGGAAAATACCTCCTATGTGGTTAAATCCATACTATTTTTCTCTTTTCCTCACCCCATTATTTTCCCTTCCGTTACTATTCCCTCCCCCCCCCCCTTCAGCAGACCCCCGGACCAAATCCTTCTCCATCTTGATATTAGAGTGTTGAAAAATAACAAACACCACTCTGAGACAGATTTAAAGTGTTTTTTCTTATCATTGTTTCAAAAACAACTATTAAAAATAGTGGAGAATTATTTTTGAGCTTTCTTGCCTCCCCTCTTCAATTTGTGGCTTGGATTTTAAACTTTAGCGAAGTCAAAAAAAAAAAAACAGAGATACACAGGAGTAAATCACACAAAAATAATCATCTATTGAGATAATGTGTAATATTGAATAAAGTTTTCCTACTTAAAATGTAAACCTGCTTTCCTTTTGTATAAGTCTCAACATAGAGAATACTAGTTCAGTGCTTTTATTGGCTAATATTTCAATTCACAGGTATTGGATACTCAGCAACGGCTCTTTCCCCTTCTTTTTTTTTTTTTTTTTTTTTTTTTTTCCTCGTTCTGATCAGCACCCTTTTTCATTTCTTCTTCAACAGATTGTTTCCTAATTAGGCAAAATAATTTTTTGACTTTTTAACAAAATGAAGAAGGAACTATAACCATAATCTACCAACTACCAAATTAAGATAAAAAAATGGTACAAGGGCATAATTCTATCTTGTACCTTATAAGAAGTAACTGACTAGAATAGGGAAACGCTGTTTATATATATATATATGATGATACATCCCTTTTTTTTTATATGTATATTGTAATTCCTTTATTACTAGCCAAACATGATCCATCAGCCAGGCCACCCAGAAGACAGATTTATATTACACTGGTATGCACATAATAGCTAGCATCCATATTTCAAAAAATTGATTTTTTTTCTTTTTCTTTTCTCATATACTAACTTTAGATTACACATCTAGGCTTGACGACTCTCGTGCGCAAAGAATATTGTGGATACTTGAGATCTTACAACTAGACTATGAAGTGAGAATATACTTGAGACATCCACAAACGTGGCGTGGTCCAACACAATTATTTGACGTTCACCAGACTGGTAAGTCGCCAATTGTGGAAATAATACATGGCGACGGAAGGCCTCCAATCAAGATTGCTGAAAGTGGGTTTATAATCCTGTATATTCTTAGAAATTACGATCCAAACTATATCTTAACTCCAACTGATCCAAATGAGCAACTTGAAGTTGAATACTGGCTACATTACAGCGAGGGGTCATTGCAACACCTACAAATGGCATTGTTGATAAATTCAGTAGCCAAGCATATAGCACCTCGTGGGTTAAAAAGCGTTGCAAATTTAGTAGCCAAGGGGATAAATAACGGGTACTATGTCCATGAGTGGAGGATGAATATGCAGTATTGTAATGATAGATTAGCCGAAAACGGCACGGGTTTCTTTGTTGGGAATAAATTAACCGCTGCAGATATTATATTGAGCTTCCCAATATATGAGAACATATTTGATAATTTAGAAGGCGTGAAGGATTGTATTCACGAAAAAAGAGATTTGAGAAAGGTATGGCCATATTTGGCTAAATGGTGCCGAATGATAAAAAATATACCATCTTACAAGAAAATCAACCAAATGATGGATGAGGAAGTGGAGGATTTGATTGCACTCGATCCCAAATTTGACTATGCTAAGGAGTAAGGGGCAAAAGCTTGTAGAAATTATGTCAATTGTTAATGAATGAATAAGTATTGTATTTTAAAGATTGCAAAAAAATTGTGGGGTGAGAATTTAAAACCCCATGTATTAAACTGGCTTTGAAAGAAGCGCGCAATCAAAAAAAAAAAAAAAAAAAAAAAAACATTTATTTTTTTTTGTACAGAGCTCTAATGTAAGGAAAAAAGTACTTCTTGGAAAGTTAGTTGCTCTCTTTCTCTCTCTCTCTCTCTCTCTCTCTCCAAAACCATGGGACTAAATGAAGCTTAATGAGGCCCATACCATTAGCCTTCTTGCCTTAATGTCAATGGCTTTTTTTTTACATTGACTGTTGGAAATTGTGGACATAATATGCGATAAGGAAAAAAGTTGTATTAGTAATAATAATTTGCAGCCACGATGATTTAATGTGTGGCGTATGAAAATGTATGTGAAATCAATTAATTGGCAAAATGAATTCATAATCAAAGAGTGGTGAGTCCACAATTTAGTAGAAACCCCCCTCCCCCTCCCCCTCGATCTTGACCTCATATATTGGGATATAAATATAAGACATCTGTATTAACAATTTTTTGGTTCTCGAATTTATAGCTAATCCTCAATTATACGTCATACTGAAACTGAAAATGGCACCATCTCTAATAACTAACAACGAGCCTTCTGATATTCAATATACAGTAGAAAAATTGGCAGCCTTAAAACCTATTGGCTGGTCTAAATCTACTAAACAACAAATATCTGGCTATGACCCGGAATGGGCTGATAAATTACCTGAGACCACGAAAGAAAGATATGCGAAATATGACATCGACACTAGTAAGGGATACCCATATATACCAACAAGTGACAAAATCCCGAAATTTGTTGATGAGGCGCATGCTATCAGAAACGAAGAGTTTCCATTTATTGAACGCGGCAAGAATGCTGATCCTGAGAAGAAAGCGTTGTTTGGTGCAGCCAAAGATGTTATCAACTTGACACCTTATATTGGTACTGAGATTGTCGGCTTGCAATTGGCGGATCTTGACGATAAACAAAAAGATGAGTTGGCATTGTTGATTGCTGAAAGAGTCGTGGTTTTCTTTAAAGATCAAGACTTGTCGCCACAGAAACAATTGGAATTGGGTCATTACTGGGGACAAGTTGAAGTTCACCCACAAGCTGCTAGAATAAGCCCAGAGTATAATGGCGTAACTGTGATTTGGCAAGAATACCAAAATGACAGAACTGGTTTAGGATTGAGTTTTCAAAAGTCCAAAAGGGGTAATTCACAATGGCATAGTGACTTGGTACATGAATTTCAAACTGCCGGTATTACTCATTTACATCAAGATTCCACTCCCGATGTTGGCGGTGAAACCATTTGGAGTTCAACTTATGGTGCCTATGACAAATTGTCGCCCTCTTTCAAGAAATTTTTGGATGGTAAAACTGCTATTTACAAGAGCGCTCATATATATTTAGACCGGGAAAACCCATTAAGAGGACCAAAACATGTTGAAAGAGAACACCCAATAGTGAGAACCCACCCTGCTACTGGTTGGAAATACTTGTTTGTGAATCGTTCAATGACAGTTAGAATTGTTGGTTTGTTACCAGAAGAGTCTGATTTGATTTTGAACTACTTGTACTCTGTAATTGAAGAAAATAGAGATATTCAAGTTACCTTCAATTGGCAGAAACAAATTCCTGGATTAAAGTCGAAAAATGAGGGTAAAAAGACCTATAGAGGTACATCAGCACTTTGGGACAACAGAATTGCTAATCATAATGTAATTCATACAAACGAAAGTATTCATGGTCGTCATGGCACACGTGTTACTTCATTAGCCGATACAGGTTATTATGATCCAAACTCAAAAAGCCAAAGAGAATCTCTAGGCTTGGAATTGGACTAGATGAACTATTTTAGTATTAAACTTAATATTACAGAAAGTAGTTTTTTGTTTCTTTGGCGTATTGTTTTATCTCCCCCCCTCCCCCCCTCCTCCACATTTAATCGCCGTTTGTGCCGGCCGGAAAAATTCTCCCGCATAAACTCAGAACTTGTAACTTGTACCTCGTAATCTGTAACTTGTAACTTGTAACTTGTCCTTTCTTCTTCTACACAGAGCAATGCCTCCAGTGGATATAACTTTTGTGTGGCCTCGGAGTATAGAGGATATACCTAGAGCATTATGGACGTTGCATCACCAAGCAAGGCTTTACCTTCTAGTAAAGTACTTTTCGTCCAATGATAAATTATGGGGATTGGTATACCTATTAAGAGATCTATTTTTCATTTATCTTGTATACACACGGTTAGCTGATGTGGCGAGGGTGGTTTGGGGCTATGGCGTCATTGGCTCGTTGAGGAAACTATACAGAACTGTATGTGCGCTGGTTTCATCTAGAGTCTTGTCTCTACCGTTTATCAAGAGCAAAATCGACAAGGAGTTAAATAGCACATTGCAAAAGATCGAAAAGGAGCTTATGAAGAACAGCGATGATCTACAGCAGTTTGCGGAATTGCCATCTCACGGGTTATCCAAGGAGGATACTATTTCGGAGTTGGTCAAATTGCAACAGATGAAGCATTGTGATTGGAATAACGGGAGGGTTAGCGGCGCCGTATACCATGGCGGAGGGGCATTATTGCAGTTGCAACTGGAAGCTTACCACAAGTATAGTGTTGCGAACCAATTGCACCCAGATGTTTTCCCCGGCGTTCGGAAAATGGAAGCTGAGGTAGTGGCAATGGTGTTGGCCATGTTCAATGGGCCAGAGGGTGCCTGTGGGTGCACGACATCAGGCGGCACCGAGTCATTGTTGTTGACGGGATTAGCTGCAAGAGAGTACGGAAAAAGATACAAGGGAATAACCCGACCCGAGGTGATTGCACCGGTAACGATACACGCAGGGATCGAAAAAGCATGTTACTACTTTGGTATGAAGTTGCACAAAGTGGATTTGGACCCTGTCACTTTCCAAGTTGACGTAAGAAAAGTTAAACGATTGATCAATAGGAATACCGTGTTGCTCTGTGGGTCAGCTCCAAACTATCCGCACGGTATAATCGACAATATCGAGGAACTCTCCAAGTTAGCAGTGAAATACGACACCCCATTACACGTGGACGCATGCTTGGGATCGTTCATAGTACCATTTTTGGAATCAACAAAAGTGCATGGTGAAGATTGTAAGTTGCCGATATTTGACTTCAGGTTGCCAGGAGTCACGTCCATTTCATGTGACACGCACAAATACGGATTTGCGCCCAAGGGGTCATCCATAATCATGTACAGAAGTTCCAAATTACGTGAATGTCAATACTACATATCGAGTGATTGGACAGGGGGGATGTATGGATCGCCCACGTTGGCAGGATCGAGACCGGGCGCGTTGATGGCAGGGTGCTGGGCGACCATGGTGAGTATCGGCAAGGATGGATATAAGAAAAGTTGCGTTGATATAGTTCTGACAGCAATGAAGTTCAAAAGGACAGTTGAAGAGGACCCAGTATTGTCGGAGTATTTGGAGGTTATTGGTGACCCACTAGGTTCTGTTGTGTCGTTCAAAGTAAAGCCAGACAAGATATCGAGCTTGTCGATTTACGGGTTGGGAGATCTATTGACCAAGAAAGGATGGCACTTTTCAACATTACAGAACCCACCGGCGTTACACTTTGCATTTACTCGACTCACCAGCGCTGTTATTGACGAGTTGATCAGTGATTTGGTAAGCTGTACAAAGGAAGCAGTAGAGATTGGTAAAAAGGACAAGAAACAGCAAGGAGACACAGCAGCGTTATATGGAATAGCAGGAAGTGTTCATACGGCTGGGTTGGCCGACAAGTTGATTGTTGGGTTTTTAGATACATTGTATAAGATATAGGAGACGACGACAGAAAAAGAAGCAACTAACAACTTTAGAGGATTTTATAGCGAAACTTTGCACATTGGTGTACATAACGAAGTGACA